TCCACCAGTGAGCTATGCATGTTAATATGCACCAGAAGGTCTTGCACTAACTGGCTCATGTGGACCCTGCTGGTGCACGGTAAACGTTCTCTAGTGTGCACTAAAGTAGTACTCTTTGATACAGGACTATGTTAATGCATAGTAGGGAGCTTTTAGAACTCACAAGCAGGATCCACATGGGCAAATTAGTACAGAACACACTGGTGTGAATTAAAATGTACACCCCCTTCTAGTGTGCATGAAGGCCATTGTAATCAATATATAGACAAGCCCTGCTCTGATGTTGAGACATAAAATATCAAGTTGCATATTGCATCAGACTACACCAGGGTGCTTTAAGAAAGCTCCCATGAGATCATACAGTTATCCTTTTTTAAAATATCCCTTTTAATTTAATTTGCTTATTTTTATTACTTGATTTACTTTTACTACTTAGTCATGTTCAGTAAGAAAAACACTTTTTATTAACTCTTTATTTTTCCCATTTTAAATTCTATTTTTCTTCAAAATAGATAATTTCTAAGTTTTGTAAAAGCCAGATAATTCCAGGGTATGATTCAGAAAGTGTAAAAATTAGTAATAACAAAATTCAGTTTGGTGGGTCCTAAGTACAGTGCACATGTACACAGATCTAAAAATGTAAACTCAAGAAGTCAAAAAAATAAATCCAGTCTACAAGCAAGAAACAAGGTTTGTATTATAAGATCCAAAACATTCTAATAGTTAGTATATTGGGGTTAATGGCAGCAAGATTTAATCTACAAAGAACTGAATGGCTTGTTATCATGGCCAAATGATACTGTATGCAAGAGGAAATTACCATTCTTTAAAATCAATTTAGTTTTTCACTGTGCTTAAAAATGTATTTAGAACAGTGGGAGGAGGATCCTTTATTGCTATTAAGTAGAGATGATTAAGGAGGCGGAGATGCTGAACACGGTGTACGTCACAAGACAGAATCTCCTGTCCCATATGTGACAAGCATTTAAAAGACAAACCAAAATAAGGGATCAATGTTTGAATCTCTCTGTACATGTGCTATATGCATATTGGTCATCTTTTTGATATGTTGCTATGGATTTTTATCTTTCACATCCTGATGTTCCATTCTGATAAAGTACAGAGCGTCTAATAACAAAATCTCAGAAGTAAAATGTTACTTAAATTGTGATTCCAGTATCATCCACCATTATAAAATGTCCAACTAATTTTTTAGATTTCCGGTTGTTAGGCAGCACTACTTTGAATTTAGTTTTTAAGAGATCACTGCAAAAACTGTTACCATTCCACATGAACTACATTTCAGTCACTATAGAATGTTTTTAAAAATATCTTAGAGATAAGACCAGGAGAAATATTAAGTAATTGTTGTTAAAAAAGAAATAAACACCCTTCAACATCAATTCTATAATGTAATGGATTGTCTTACTGATTTTCTTAACAGGGATAATAATCATGGGGCAGGTTTTAAGTTTAAATTGTGGTCCTAAAATCTGTATAGGTTGGACCTCCCTGGTTCAGCACCCTAGGGACCTGATTAGTCCCGGATGAGGGATTTTGCCGGATTAGAGGAGGTCCTTTCAGGCTGCCCTGCAGCGGGCCCTGCCATGCTACCCAAATCGGCTTCCAGGCTCCCCGAGGGGAGCCCAGTTCAACACACCAGGCTCTCTTGTCTCACACAGCACGGCAGGACTCTGACCCTGGAACATCCATGGACCTGAGAGATCATGGATGTTGCTGGACAAGAGTGTCCCTGTTTACAGAGGTGCAGCCTGTAGTAAAGTATTTTGTAATTTTAAAGCCTCTTTCTGTCTTTTCTTTCTTTAACAAGTACCTGTCTTTATATGTTTACTCTCATCTATAAAGACATAATCCCTTCAATTTGAATATATTCATTATATCTGAGCCTCTAGCTATCAACTTTATAAAATCATGGGAGACAGGAGAGATTCTAGAAGACTGGAAAAAGGCAAATATAGTGCCTATTTATAAAAAGGGAAATAAGAACAACCCAGGAAACTACAGACCAGTTAGTTTAACTTCTGTGCCAGGGAAGATAATGGAGTAAGTAATTAAGGAAATCATCTGTAAACATTTGGAAGGTGGCAAGGTGAATGGGAACAGCCAGCATGAATTTGTAAAGAATAAATCGTGTCAAACCAATCTGATAGCTTTCTCTGATAGGATAACGAGTCTTGTGGATAAGGGAGAAGCGGTGGATGTGGTATACCTAGACTTTAGTAAGGCGTTTGATATGGTCTCGCATGATATTCTTATCAATAAACTAGGCAAATACAACTTAGATGGAGCTACTATAAGGTAGGTGCATAAGTGGCTGGATAACCGTACTCAGAGAGTAGTTATTAATGGTTCACAATCCTGCTGGAAAGGTATAACAAGTGGGGTTCCGCAGGGGTCTGTTTTGGGACCGTGTCTCTGTTCAATATCTTCAGCAACGATTTAGATATTGGCATAGAAAGTACGCTTATTAAGTTTGCAGATGATACCAAGCTAGGAGGGGTTGAGACTGCTCTGGAGGATAGAGTCATAATTCAAAATGATCTGGACAAATTGGAGAAATGGTCTCAGGTAAACAGGATGAAGTTTAATAAAGACAAATGTAAAGTGCTCCACTCAAGAAGGAACAATCAGTTTCACACATACAGAATGGGAAGCGACTGTCTAGGAAGGAGTACGACAGAAAAGGATCTAGGGGTTATAGTGGACCACAAGCTGAATATGAGTCAGCAGTGTGATGCTGTTGCAAAAAAAGCAAACGTGATTCTGGGATCCATTAATAGGTGTGTTGTGGGCAAGACACAAGAAGTCATTCTTCCGCTGTACTCTGCACTGGTTAGGCCTCAGTTGGAGTATTGTGTCCAGTTCTGGGCACCGCATTTCAAGAAAGATGTGGAGAAATTGGAGAGGGTCCAGAGAAGAGCAACAAGAATGATTAAAGTTCTAGAGAACATGATCTATGAAGGAAGGATGAAAGAATTGGGTTTGTTTAGTTTAGAAAAGAGAAGACTGGGGGGGGACATGATAGCCGTTTTCAGGTATCTAAAAGGGTGTCATAAGGAGGAGGGAGAAAACTTGTTCATCTTGGCCTCTGAGGATGGAACAAGAAGCAATGGGCTTAAACTGCAGCAAGGGCGGTTTAGGTTGGGCATTAGGAAAAAGTTCCTAACTGTCAGGGTAGTTAAACACTGGAATAAATTGCCCAGGAAGGTTGTGGAATCCCCATCTCTGGAGATATTTAAGAGTAGGCTAGAGAAATGTCTATCAGGGATGGTCTAGACAGTATTTGGTCCTGCCATGGGGGCAGGGGACTGGACTTGATGACCTCTCGAGGTCCCTTCCAGTTCTAGTATTCTATGATTACAAAAGCTTTGCTACTTCAAACCTGTTCAAAAATGTATACAGAGAGTGGTTTTGTATAGATGAAAGAAAGCACTTAGATGCTGTCAGAAACATCCAAGCTGTACCAGATATCTTAGGGTTATATCTGTGATAATCAAAATCAATCATAAAAGTATGTGTTTTTGAACAGATATATAGGTTTGCTCAAATGTTTCTTAAAAATTCAGTTGCTGGGGAGAGGCTAACTATTTTTTAATTAGCTCTATTGTGGACGATAATTTAGCTTATGGATGAATTAATTGTGCTTATTCATTTTTTAAAACCATTTTTAATCAGCCTTTCGATAAATCTCTGAGAATCCTAGTTTCCTTGGAGTGCACGTTGGAAAAAGCTGAGTTCTGTTCCCAACAGTCCTCTGCAATCTTATTGCATTGCTACCTAAGTATATTTTGATATAGTTTGTATATACTTATTTTTTTTTTAAATATATGCTAATGGAATTGTGATGAACCTTCAACATAAAAGTTATTTTTAATTCATCAAAACAATTTCATTAGAATTGGTAAATATTTACAGATGTGCATTAATTACATAGCTACTGCTCTAACAGAACCGTGATACAGATCATATCCTTACTGGAAGAAGTACAGACAGAATACAGTGAACACTGTGTCAATCTGAATTTTACAATCCTTTATATTAAAAAGTTATATTCATTACTAACTGATAAAATAGTTGTTAAATATTATGGTTAATCAGTTACAGATAAACCAACCAATAAAGGCCATCATGCTTTCCTCTTAGCTGTACTAATTTTCTATCTGCTATTCCAAGTTAACTGCTTGCAATAACTGTGCACATTCATTTCTCTTTAGTTTTTTTTCTTTTTGTTAATTATCTCTGGAATGTTCCAGTGTATTTAATTATGTGCCACTTTCTTGCTTCCTTTCACAGTAATTACCCATATCTTACATGTTTCCTGTGTTATCTGAATAAAAATCTCTAGAGTGCATTGTATATTTTAGTAGCATTTTCATTCTCATTGTTTGAGAGAGAATGAAAACATTTAAATTACACTAACTGCAATCAAATTTTTTTCCTGTTCAGCTCAGTTTTAAGGGTATTATATTGCTTGTGTATTTTGGATTTGAATTTCATAAGCTTTTCATTTTAAAAAAACTATTCCTAGAAATATCTGGAGTAGAAATAATTGAATTGAAATGTAGTGAATTATATAAAAACACAATTCCAGTTCCATCTTTAAAGAATTTTTTGTACCAGTTACTCACAAACAGTACCTCTTGGTACGTAAAAACATTTAAAAGTAATTCTGTTTCCTGACACTTCAGCATAAACTAAGGAAAGCTAGTAAATATAAATCTGCATTTAGAAAAAATGCATCTATTTTATAGAGCATTTGCCTGATTTTCAAGAATTTGCTGTATTGTAGTACAAAATACATTATTTTTTGTCTATGTAGAGCAAACTATGGAATATTCCTGTTTTCCTCTATGGATTAATCTTTTTTTTCCTCATAGAAATAAATTTTCTGGATTTGAAGGTACAGATTCTGTGTGTGGTTTAAAGTGACTTCTCTGAAACTGAATTTTAATACCAGTTTCTGTTTCTCCTCTGCACAGTCCCTTCAGTCTGAACATGTTCAGTACTAAAGGCTTGCTGCTTCGATGAAAGCTGCCCAGCTCTTAAAATCCCATTTCTTCATGGAGGAACAATGTTGAGGGGAAGAAATTGCTCACTGAGAGGAGAAGTCTTCATCCTTAGATAAATTAAAACATTAAAAACTTAGACATCAAGGAGCAACTTTGAGCACCAGAGATTTCTGGTTTAAAAACTACTGCAAATGCACTGAAGTTAACATTATGAAAATTGCAACGATTTTTGTATACAGATGAAAAATTTTAATGTTGATGTGAGGATATTTCTAATGGATTTCAATAATACATTTATAATTACATTTGTGTATACAGTGTTACAATATGTATGTATTAAGAAAAGGAATATTTTGGTAAACTGAATATATATATATATATAATTATGTAAAAATTAGAATATATTTTGATTTAGGTTTCTTCACTTCTTTGCTACCAAAAATATGTATTTTTAAATATATATTTAAGGTTTATCTTCAATGTATGAAACCATTTTATGAACAAAACCATTTTTTATTTTGATTTTATGGGTCCACTGTTACTGCTACAAGCTCAGTTTAATTATATTGGCAACTAATCTGCTTTATATAACTTAATTAGGAAGTTAGTTGTAGCATCAGTAGAATGTAGTATATTATCAGGTTTTCCTTTTCAACTGGTAATGTTCCATGCGGTCATCTTAAAAGGAACTTAAAATAGCTACCTGTGGATTAGAGAAAACTCTACATTCCTGTCCTGTCCTCCCTTTGAATGAAAAAATAATATAGCTAATAATTCTGGTATATTGCTAATGTTTTCCCTCTGATGATTTATTTTAAAGAGATGTTTTAGCTCTTTACTTTCAGCATGGCGGAATGTGTGAACTATTTGGTCTACCCTATTATTTGTGTTGTAGTAGTTTTAAAATGAAACATAATTCAGAATTAAACTTCTGCTGTTCATTTAAACCGTGAATGAAAAGAAAGGCCAAATTCAAAACCGACAGAAGCAGAACAATTCCATTGAATTTGGAGGTGTTTCACACCTTTTTATAACAATGACCAGATGTGTAACCTGGGTGGCAAAAAATGTTACTATAGATTTGGACATGAAAGTAGAAAACTATTTGTATTAATGTTTGCAAGTAAATTAATATCTTTTATAGACATTTGCTCTTGACTTTACTCATTAGCTAGTTAAGACATATAGTTAAACTATTAATTATTACACCAAACTTATTTCACCAATAGTAAAGAAAACCTTGAACTTATAGATGTATTTAGAGCTAATTAGGAATAAAACTTGGTGAAAGCATTTCAAACAATGTTAGCAGATGAAGTTTGTAGTACTTTACTATAGGTTTAACCTCTCTAGTCCGGCACCCTCAGGACCTGACTGGTGCCGAACCAGAGAATTTGCTGAATCATTAAAGGTCAATATTGTATAGCAACATTACCTACACTTCCACTGCTTACTGGGCTGTTAGAAGACAGAGAAGGGTAAATTAGAGCTAAATCACAGCACAGAACGCTGAGAGCTATGACTGGTGGCTGTAAACAAACTTTATGGCATTACAGGAAAACTTGCTCTCACTCATGATAAGTGGCCATCTGGCTAACTAAAATCATGCCAGACCACAGATGTTGCTGGATTACTGTATAACAAAGCTATTTCTCCTCTATTTATGGGAGAAAGTGTGTTGGTGGTAACATGTACATATATCTGCAAAAAAGAAAGTTCTTTTGAAAAAGTGCACTAATTTGATTCTGAAATGGATGATTAGTTTGATTCAGAATGCAGAAATAAAATACATAGAATTGTCAGCTACAAGTCTTATCACTAGTTATAGAAAGCTGAAGAGGAAGTATTTGGCTAAACATCCAGTCCACATTGTTAACGTTGAGTGGACTAATCTGAGTAAAAGTACAGGTAGGTGTTGGGATAGGAAATGGGGCAGCAAATGAAGCTATGATCATTTAATATTATGAAACAAAAATTTTACATCGCATTTTGAAAGGGAAATAGTCATAATGAAAATCCCTGTAGTTACATAAACCCTGTTGAATGCAGCTATTTAAATCACTGAATAAAATTTACATGCAATAGCCTTGTGTATATGTGACATATACACACACCAGGTAGCGTATGTTTGTGTGTGTGTGTGTGTGTATATCTATATATAGATAGATATATATAGGCACACATTATAATGATATACTGTATATAAATGATTGTTAGGTAAATTATAAGGTAATTCTACCTCCTATAAAATTGTATTTTGTTATGAATAGTTTGCTTTCATAAAAATACATATTTTGTTCTATTTTGAAGTGTAGACACACTGCTAATCAACCATTAAAAAAATGCAATGCTTATATAAGTCATCTGCCTCTTTTGTTCTTTCATCTCTCTATCTCACATTTAATTCTGGCTTTTGTCAGTTCCTGTACAAGAATATAGTTGACTCTTAATTATATAATACTCAACTGCTTTTTCAAAAGCCCATAATTCTACTGATGTATATAATGCATTTTAAGAGAGAATCTGAATTTCACAAAAATAACTAAGTACAGAAAACCATTCCTTTTAGTAAAAATGACAGCCAGATAGGTCTTCACTTTGAGTGCCTTAGGCTGTGTTCAGTCAATAATGTAATAATAGTGATTATAAAAAGAACACTACTCTAATGAAATCTGTAATATGGTTAAACAAATGACCTCTGTGAAAGGACAATTATTAAAGGTACTACTTTTGTTCCTTCATGTGTACAGAATAGTACACTTAGTTTGCTGTCAATTATTCTTCCCAATATCAGGCTCTGTGTCCACTAAAACTTCAAAAATACTGCTTTTTCTAGGTCCTCAGTTACAAAAAGGGAAATGTGTCCTCCTTTAATGCAAGCTGATTTCTGACCACTGACAGATCTAAATACAGTTCTGCTTTTATAAGGATGCTTAGCACCTGTATTATGTTATGAGGGAACTAATCTGCACAATTCTCCTGTGACAGATAAATTGTTTTCTGTATTATTAATCCACTTCACATGGGGAATTTATGCAGAGAGGATGTTACTTGCCTGAGGCTACACTTTAAAGAAGTGTCTGGGCCAGAAACAGAAAGGGAGTCCTCTGAATTCTGATCTCAAGATATTTTCAGTATTGTTGTACCTGTGTGCGGTAAGAAGTCTATTTCCCTGAATTCAACTGAGTAACGGATGCCTTGTAATGGGCATGTACCAAATTACTACAAACTCAAGCCAACTACTAAAACTGTTAAAGGTTAAATCTAAGATTTGAAATACAACCCCTTTCTTTGAATCTGTCATTTGCTACCATTTTGATGCATTAATTGATTCACTATGACATACAAGGCAATAAATCCTCTGTGGTATTTGAGTGGTACAATCCCCGTCCTATTCAAAACAACATGAAACATACAGCCTATGCCTTCATTAATACAGGTGACATAGCTGACATCCACTGGAGCCAGTTTATATAAAGCACAGTAAGGTTGCTAGTCTCCTTTAGAATCTGTTCTGAATTCTTATCACAGTGTGATGCTGGCCTCCCCACCCCTGTCAGACTTTTCAATAAGGACAACCAGGCCCTAAAGGGAAGGCAGGGGAGTCAGACCCTGAGAGAGACGGAAGAATTAAGAGTTGTCCTAGACACAGATGGAGGAGACCTGAATTGAGAGCAGTAACTCAGCTGCTAATGAGAAGCTTAGAGGCAAGAATTGACCAAAGCTGGAGACCTTGCATGGAGAAACCATGATAGCTGTTTTCAAGTATCTAAAAGAGTGTTACAAGGAGGAGGGAGAAAAATTGTTCTCCATAGCCTCTGAGGATAGGACAAGAAGCAATGGGCTTAAATTGCAGCAAGGGACATTAGGAAAAACTTCCTAACTGTCAGGGTGGTTAAACACTGGAATATATTGCCCAGGGAGATTGTGGAATCTCCATCACTGGAGATATTCAAGAGCAGGTTAGGCAGACATCTACAGGGATGATCTAGAATAGGGGTCGGCAACCTCCAGCACATGTGCCATGCCAATTTTCACTGGCATGTGGGCTGGAGCTCAGTCCTATCCCTCACCCCTGCCCCACAGCAGGGAGCTTGCCCTGCTGCTTGAGCCTCACAGCCAGCCTGCGCAGGCAGGGAGTTCAAATGATTTCAGGGGGCGGGCCATTGTTAAGCAGCTGCTAAAAGGAGCTGTTTCACTTGAAGTGGAGCAGCAAGATAAGGAGGTGTCAATGGCTTAGATTTACAAACACCTCGGCTGTGTCTAGACTGCAGAGTTTTTTCGAAAAAAGTAGCCTTTTGTCAAAAACACTTCACCTGCATCTAGACTACAGCCACATTCTTCGAAATTAAATCGAAAGAACGCAGCTTTTCTTTTGACGGCGGTACTCCTCATTTCACGAGGAAGAACGCCTTTTTTCGAAAGTGCTCTTTCGAAAAAAGGCGTTCTTAAATGCAAACAGGACTTTTTCGAAAGAGAGCATCCAGACTGCCTGGGTGCTCTCTTTCGAAAAAGTGGCTCACTTTTTCGAAAGAAGAGGTTGCAGTCTAGATGCTCTTTTTCGAAAGAAGCTTTTTTGAAAGTATAGTCCTAAAGAGACAGATAGGTGCCTAATGGGAATTGCATTCTTTTCATTTGACTTTTAATGGGAGCTAGACATCTGGGGTTTTCTGGAGTGCAAAGCAAGTTAGGCATGTATCTGCCTCTTCAGGCACCCAAATACCTCTATCTTGTTCTAGATCTAAAAAACAAAGGTAAAGGCTCTGATGGGAATTGTCAACAAAAGCAGAACTCGTGATTTTTTTCCCTGTGTTACAAGAACTGGCTGAAATATGGTGATATACTTTCACAGAGAGGAAAAACAAAGTATTCACTCATGAATTTGTTTTCATTTCAAAGCAAGCCAAATGGACCCATTTTTTATTTTTCTCCTTTTTCAAAATGTCCTACATCTTTTCTATTTCCCCTCTGTCCTCTCCCAGGAAGTTAGTGAAATTTTTCCTTTGCCAAAAGCCCCTCCAAAAACTGGTGCTAACTAGTTATAAAAGACTTTGAAGTTTGAACTATGTAGCACTTCAAAGACTAACAAGATGGTTTAATAGGTGATGAGCTTTCGTGGGCCAGACCCACTTCCTAGGGCTTTCCCTAGGAAGTGGGTCTGGCCTACGAAAGCTCATCACCTATTAAACCATCTTGTTAGCCTTTGAAGTGCTACATGGTCTGATTTTGCTAAAACAAAAGGAAAAATTGACACGGCTACCTCTCATTACTATTTGAAGTTTGAGTTAGTGAATAGGCATGACACTTTTCACACAAGAACCACCATTTTGACAATGTCGACAGTCTGGGATGAACTTAAAAAACAACAAATAGCGTAGTAGCACCTTAAAGACTAACAAAACATGTAGAATCATAGAGCTGGAAGAGACCTCAGAAGGTCATCAAGTCCAGCCCCCTGCTCTAGGCAGAACCAATCCCAACTAAATCAACCCAGCCAGGGCTTTGTCAAGCTGAAACTTAAACACCTCTAGGGATGGAGACTCCACTACTTCCCTAGGTAACCCATTCCAGTGCTTCACTACCCTCCTAGTAAAATAGTTTTTCTTAATATCTAACCTGGACCTCTCCCACCACAACTTGAGACCATTGCTCCTTGTTCTGCCATCTGTCACTACTGAGAACAGCCTCTCTCCATCCTCTTTGGAACCTCCCTTCAGGAAGTTGAAGGCTGCTATCAAATCCCCCCTCACTCTTCGCTTCTGCAGACTAAACAGACCCAACTCCCTCAGCCTCTCCTCATAAGTCATATGCTCCAGCCCCCTAATCATTTTGGTTGCCCTCCGCTGGACCCTCTCCAATGCGTCCACATCCTTTTTGTAGTGGGGAGCCCAGAACTGGACACACTGCTCAGATGTAGCCTCACCAAAGCCAAATAAAGGGGAATAATAACATCTCTGGATCTGCTGGCAAAGCTCCTCTTAATGCAACCTAATATGCCATTAGCCTTCTTGGCTACAAGGGCACACTGTTGACTCATATCCAGCTTCTCATCCACTGTAACCCCCAGGTCCTTTTTTGCAGAACTACTAAAGTGGTTGGTCTCCAGCTTGTAACTATGCTTGGGATTCTTCCGTCCCAAGTGCAGGACTCTGCATTTGTCGTTGTTGAACCTCAGATTTCTTGTGGCCCAATCCTCCAATTTGTCTAAGTCACTCTGGACGTATCTCTGCCCATGCGTATCTACCTCTCCCCCTAGCGTAGTGTCATCCGCAAACTTGCTGAGGGTGCAATCCATTCACTTATCCAGGTCATTAATAAAGATATTGAACAAAACCAGTCCTAGAAACGAACCTTGGGGCACTCCACTAGAAACCGCCCGCCATCCTGACATCGAACCGTTGATCACTACCCGCTGGGCCCGGCCTTCTAGCCATCTTTCTATCCATCTCACTCACAA